CTGCAGACTTTTTCCCGGACTTGAGAGCCATGCACAGCGATGCCTTGGAGCCCATAGAGGAGCAGGCTGGCTTTGTCAGCGCAAGCTTCCCGTGCGACGACGCTTCAGCTCCTCATTCTCAACCCTCCTCAAAAAAGCAACGCCTTTGCGTTGCAGAGGCCTGGGCCTGTCGCACCAGCCAAGAAGTATTTATCAAGATTTGCCGGATGATAGGAAAACAAAGAGCGACCAGGTAGATGATTGGACTTGACTTACATACCAGGAACCGAACAAATAACTGTTGAACTGTTGAGCTTGAAGCTTGAAACTTTAGACTTTAAACTGTTAAAAAACTAAACTTCAACTTTGGCTTAACATCTGTTTCGCTGCCGATAAGTCAAGTCTATTGTTGGTCTCGTCGTGCCAACCGGAGTCTCAAACGAAATTGCCGAATGCGCCTTGTGTTCTGACGAACTGCTGACCTTGGCGCGCAGGGTTCACTGCGCATTGGCAGTGTGTTCAGGGCTATCTCGAAGTACCTGGCCAAGAATCCAAAACTGCAAGTAATGCGACGGCCCTTGCTACCAAGCCTGAGTCAAATGGCGCCAGGGGCGAGAAGGACTGGACCGTCAAACTTGTCGGCAGTGTGCTATGTCCTTGACATGGAGGCCAGCATGTGGACCCTGTTTGGCAGATGGATGCTCGTGAAATTGGAAGCGGTCAGCAAAGGCAGCGCTTGTATGGCTCAGCCTTCAAACATGACGCGCTTCACACGCCACTGGAGTCTTCAACTTCTGCAGTGGCGTGCAGCCGTGCCATCCAGAAGAGTACCTATTGCACCCATTGCATCCGAGGTTGAAAGCAGAGAGAAGTTTCCATGTGCTGCGCAACTTGCCGCAGAAGGGCCGCGCAGAGGGCGCAACATCCCTGAGCATGGAGTGCCTTTTTTAGACGGTGGCGTCGCGCCGTCCGCTGTGGACTGCTGCGGTAAACGCCGACGACTGCCGACGCCCGCTTCTCCACTATGTGCAAAGTGGGTGAAGCTGCATGCTACTGCCTTCCGGGATCTTGGAGGAGCAGCTTAGCAAAATCCGCAATCAGAGAGCTCGCAGTTTCCCATGTTTAAATTTGCGATTGAGTTGAGAGTCGCTAAGTGGCTAAGTCTCGCTTAGGACCCAGCATCACAAACAAGGACCGATTTCCAAGACAAAAACTCTAGGAGTTGTTGTCTTGAAAAACGCCCCAGCAACACCCCCCGCATCACCAGCAACACCCCGCCCGGCGTCAGTGTTGATCTAATCAAATCTAATCCGGGCTCCCGACGTAACAGTGCACAGAATTGGTTTGAACACTTTCATTTGTTGAGATGACCCTGCAAGTCACTACTTACTGTTACTGACTCAGACACCTTTCACTCCCAACATTAACTTCCAGCTTCCCACTTGGGCAAATAGTTGCATGGCTCTGCTTTCCAGAAGCCGAACCAAGAGTTGAGCACACCTATCCGGCCATCAAGGCCCTCACGCCACGACAGCTTGAATTGCTGCATATCAAGGATGTGCGACTTCCAGAAGAAGAGCTCAGGGTGATGGATTTGTCGCAGAACCTTGCCTTTTGCTCAGTCACTGCTGGCAAGATGCCCTGTGTGACGCCTGATGGCGAAGTTTCTTACTCAAGAGGTGCGCTTTGTCACAGGCGTGGAGTCTTTGCAGCACATGGGCATTTACCACGATCAGGAAAAGCTGCAGGTGCACACCTCCGCCTCTCTCCAGGATTTGGCGGAATGCTTTTTGTTTTCCTGGCCGGCAGCAGCAGGCTTGGCAATGCAGGCGGCGCTGACCATGATTCAGAATCAGAGTCAGAGCCAGCTTGACACTGGCTCAACTCTTTGACGGCGAGATGCGACTGTTGATGTACTGCAGGCTGCAGCTGATCCAACTCAACTGTTTCAACTGCTGCTAGGCAAGCGCAAGTGTTTGGACCCTTGAGTCTGGGTGCAACTCAGAAAAAACTTAGAGTCAGGGACCTGCAGAGCAGTGTGTAATTCATGAGTTACCAGACCTCACCAACCGATTGCGGAACTTGGAATCAATCATCATTGAATAATATGTACATAACTGAATGCTTTTGATAATTGTTGAATGAGCTAGATTGATTGAATTGAATTTTGAATGAAATAGAAATAGTTTTGAGCTTGTTGCAACAATACGAAGTAAAGAAACTCTAATATAAGTGTAATACTGTTTCCAATGTTATCTGCTATTGTATTCCCACCGTTTCATTTTTCTGTAGATCCAAATAATGTTTTGTTGTGTAGCGAAAGGATTTGGTCCATGGTTTCCAAAAGCAATGCCAGTTGGTGAGTGAACTTGCGACAGCTTTGACTTTCGAAGTTGCATTTACCAATTTACCACGATTGCTGCAGTCACTTGGGAATGAGTTGGTTAGGCAAGGAGTGAGGGGTGAAGAGTTCACGTTTTGATGTTCAATGTTGACATGACAGGAGGAATCACTTCAGGGGTTGTCTGCTCTTGACATGAACTGAAATCATTCTGTCTGTCTGTCTGCCTTTTAATGTGTATCTGTCTGTTTGTGACTGTCTCTGTTGGTTGTTTCTCTGCAACAAGACTGAATGGCATCTGTTTCTTAGTATCTCTATGTCTTTCATGCTCTGTGAATCTCTGTCTCTCTCTTTCTGTTGCTTGCAATATGCCTTATTGCAAGTGTTTCTGCCTTCTTGGGCTTTGCCTACGCTGCCTACGACAAAACAGACCACTCCCGCAAAACGCAAATGCGACACCAAGTTGACAAGACGCCTGCCTACGCGAAACGCGACTCAACACATTTATTTCCGCGAGGTTGCAACTTGCCAGCACAACCTGTCAGTACAAGAGCGGAACACAAAGCACACCTTGGCAGCTCCAGCTCAAACATTGCAAACTGTGGGCGCAAGTCCCGAGACGTGCAAGCGCCCCCGAGAAGCCGCAACTGCCAAGCCTCATTGGCAACCGCGCAGCTTTTCTTAACCTTCGTGCTTAGCCTCTTGCCCACGAGGCGGAATGGGCTACCCTGGACCAGGATGTCTTGCGCGTGCGCTTCTAGTTTCCGGGTTGCTGCTACGCGTGAGCCTTGTTGGTTTAGCCCCTGTTTGCCAACCATGTTCTGACCACATACGTATCGATCGATGAATGAATGTCTTGATTATGACGTTTGTCTACTCCTGACACGCGCCGCGCGACTGAACTTGCAACATTAACGAGACCCGGTGGGAGCACACCTCATTTTGGACATCTTCACGCGACTTACAAGATGATTTTTTGCAATGTAGTTCCTTACGCCCTCAGCTATGATGGACTTGACACTGTTGACAACTTGACGCGTCGCGTGACACAGTGTCACATGTCCGTTTTAAGTCTTTCAGAAGTCCGTCTTCAAGGGTTGCAGGTCCTCTCACCTTCTGCCACAAAAGCCTGGCATCAGGCTGGTTCCATCGCTGTGCGTTGGGAGTCAGGTATTGTCACACTCAAAAGTCATGAAGGGGCGTGTGCTGCTTCCGGCCCTACCACGCAACACCATTCAGCAGCTTTGTTGTTTAGATTTGCAGAGCTTGTAGGGCGGCACTCTAGACGTGAACCACTATTGTTGGTAGGTGGCATGAACGCACGCAAATGTGCATGATGGCGAAGCACCGCCGTCTGCCCTGGGGACTCACATCGTAACTTGAGATTGCTTCGGCTTGCGGCTGGCGGATTCCCAGCCTGGGTTTGATCGGTTCAGCTTAGTCTCGCCAGGATGTTGCACAGTTGGCCACTGATGCGAAAGCTTTAACGTTGAGTCAGCGACCACGCGTTTATGACGCTCACTCTCGTTGGTTGGGGCCTCACTCCCCAGAATTTATCGCACAGCTTTGCAATGTCGTGCTCGCTAGTGGGCGAATTTGCTTGACTCGTGTGAATTGCGCGTGCCGCCAGCCATCCATTGTGGCTGCGCAGTTGTGTTGCACGGTTTCATGTGTCGTATGGAAGTTTTCTGCGGCCCCTCATTATTTGGTCACGTCGTGCTCGTTCGTGGGCAACGACGTCTTCTGATGCTGTTGCTGCCGTAAAGTACAACTTGGCACCTCCGCCTCGGAATTGCAGCTTTCTAGCGCACACACACTACTCAAAGTACACTTTGGCAGCTCCGGGCCTAGAAGCGGAAGGGCCTGCAAAGGAGGGACGATCTGACGTACAAAGCAGAGTATGATTTGAAGCATGTTGCACAAGAGTCTTCAAGGAATCCCCCATATGCGAAGACCACAAAATGAAGACTCACTAAACAAATATAAGTCTTGTTCAACTGTTCACCCACCTGTTTGAGCAGTTGGCGACCCCGTTGGCATGTCTGCATTGAACGAACTGCGATCTCATTGCTCGCCAGATTGGGCAGGCGCATGATAGGACCACTTTGAGGAAGAGGCCGCAGGGTGTCGGAATTGTAGGAGTTGGCCACTGCCCAGACGACCTATTCAAGAGACTGCATAGTGGATGCCCAACATGAAAGCCTGCAAAGCAAAGAGCCTGCCAAAAAGACGCAACTTCTACAAATCATTGGTTGAAGTTCCACGCTGGTCTTCTGGAATGTTCCTCTTCAGCTTTTGAGAGGTCTGGCTAACCAGTGGAACTATTCAGTATTGCCACGCCCGGTCAAACAGATGATTGTGCACAAGTAGTAACTGAAATCAGCACGAAGCAAGCGCAAAGCGTGCCGAGTCCTCCAGCACGACTATCATCCCGAACAACAGAAAGAAGATACATTCCGCCCTGGATGAGGCGGGGTTTGTAGCGGGGTGAAACGGTCAGCGCTTTGCTATTGTGACCCCTGACCTCCTATACAGTACTCAGCCGCAACGCCTTCTAAACGGAACAAGAACCGCCGCACACTGGCATCCCAGCCTCAAATGCTTACAGCTTGTCGCGTTGACTGGAAAGGACTTATCTGTACTCAGAAGACAAAGACTTTTGGACCGCCAAGCCCTCAGCCTTGACTTGCTGCGCCAGCCAGCTTTGCGGATAGACCTCGACAGGTCTACATCACAACAAATGATCCTCAACTCCGAGACATACTTGTATGCCGAAACAAGGTGAACAAATTTAAGACAGAAGCAAGACCTCGAGCATCGAATATGTCCATCTACTACACCCGGCCCCCCTGGCCCCAGTACTGGAAATCTGACTGTCAAAAGCTTTGGCGCATCCCTTCTTGGCGGGTTGCGTATCCCAACCTATGATTTAGAAACCTCAGACCTGTCCAAGATCCAAGGCTATCAAGGAACATGCGGGGCAAGCCTTGGATCCAAACTGGGCCCCTCGTTTGCCTTCAGCAGACCTCTTGCAGTCTGCTGCTGGCGCAGGCTCATTCAATGAGTTACACTTGGTTTCTCGGGGCAGCGGCTAGTTCAACTAATGTAGTCATTGGTCGGTCCTGGGCCCTGATTTTTTCAGAAGCCACCTGTGCAACTGGGCCTCAGGGCCAGCAACAAGGTAACAAACAAAATATGCCATTACCAACTTCAACTAGGTCAAGCAAGGGCAGACAATCAAATATTCTACGTGTTCAATATTTTTTGATGAGTCTGCAGCCTTGATTTGTCTAGGTTCATGTGTCTTACTCAGGGGCCTGGACTTTCCATTGACTAAGTTAATTTGAGCTCAAGTAACCTCTGATCACCTGATCCGTGCCACTGGTAACATGCAGTAGAATCAAATGCATCACACGCTCCAAAGGTCCCCCGTTGTGACTCAGGTCTGTGTGCGCGCGCGTCACCTTGCGAGGGAGAGAGGCTCAGTATTGTCGGGCCCCTGTAAAGTGAAGAGTCAACGTTCAACTGCTGAATGGGTGTCAAAAAACCAGGAACCGTCTACTGAAGTAAGGAAAACTCTGGAGCCCTGATTGTGTGCCACATTCACCTCAAAAGTCCCCTCAAATTTTCGCATCTCGGATTCAAAAGCCCACATCCCACGATAAAGATTCCTAATGTCCGGAATCACATTCTTTTGGGCCTTCCAAAAGCAGCAGGAAATTTCATTACAGCCCAGCAATCGGCAAAAAACAAATGAGGGTGCTGGCAAGGGTTGAGGGGGCGCGCAACGCATACTGTGATGCGTGGGTGTGCCAGGCAATTCACTGTTCGGAGGTTTTTTGCCCAGCAGCCATGGAAAAATCAAGCAGGGCTAGCCACGCTTGTCGGTTCTTGGTTGTTTATTCAGCAAGAAGCTTCTTTGGCGAGAAGATTGAACAACATGAGCAAACCTTCATTCTTCGTTCTGCGTCTCGCAAATTTTGCCTTCCTTTGAAGGGCCGTTCTTTACACGCACCCAACATCTTCCGAGAAGCGCCCCTCATGCATCGACCCACGTCAATGCCACCAAAGCTGCGAACCGCCAGTCTTCGATCTCTTCGAAGAAGGCGTGCCCTTTCATGGTTGCTACAGTCCTCAGCCGAGCAGGATCGTGAAGGGGCAGGCCAGGGCGAGGGGGGGGAAATGGGGCAGGGGCAAGCAATGGAAATCGCCACCGTCTCTGCCACCAACACCAACACCAACGCGAAACAGCAACGAACCAACCAACCAACCAACCAACCAACCACAACCACAACCACAACCACAACCACAACCACAACCACAACCACAACCACAACCACATCCACCAACAACAACCAACAACAACCAACAACGACAACAACAGCCAACAACAACCAACAACAACATCAACAACAACGACGACGACGACAACCACAACAACAACAACAAGAACAACAACAACAACAACAACAACAACAACAACAACAACAACAACAACAACAAAAGCAACAGCAACAGCAACAGCAACAGCAACAGCAACAACAACAGCAACAACAAACAGCAAAAAAACAAACAACAAACAACAAACAACAAACACCAAACACCAAACAACAAACAACACACAACAAACAACACACAACACACACACAAAACAACAAACAACAAATAACCAAGAACCAAGAACTAACCACCGACAACCAACAACCAACAACCAACAACAACAACAACAACAACCACAACAACAACAACAGCAGCAGCAACAACAACAACAACAACCACCACGACAACAACAACGACAACGACAACAGCAACAGCAAAAGCACCAGCACCAACCAACACCAACCAACAACCAACAACCAACAACCAACAACAACAACCAACAACAACAACAACAACAACAACCAACAACGACCAACATCAATGAACAACAACAGCAACAACAACAGCAACAGCACCAAAACCAACACCAACACCAACCACCAACCAACAACCGACAACCGACAACCGACAACCGACAACCGACAACCAACAACCGACAACCGACAACCGACAACCGACAACCGACAACCGACAACCAACAACCAACAACCAGCAACCAGCAACCAGCAACCAGCAACCAGCAGCCAACAGCCAACAACCAACAACCGACAACCAACAACCGACAACAACAACAAACAACCAACAACCAACAACCAATAACCAACAACTGCCAACAACTAACAACCAACCAACCACAACCACAACCACAACCACAACCACAACCACAACCACAACCACAACCACCAACAACAACCAACAACAACCAACAACAATAACCAACAACCAGCAACAACAACATCAACAACGACGACGACGACGACAACAACAACAACAACAACAACAGCAACAGCAACAGCAACATAAGCAACAACAGCAACAGCAACAGCAGCAGCAGCAGCAGCAGCAGCAACAACAACAACAACAACAACAACAACAACAACAACAACAACAACAACAACAACAACAACAACAACAACAACAACAACAACAACAACAACAACAACAACAACAACAACAACAACAACAACAACAACAACAACAACAACAACAACAACAACAACAACAACAACAACAACAACAACAACAACAACAACAACAACAACAACAACAACAACAACAACAACAACAACAACAACAACAACAACAACAACAACAACAAACACCAACAACAACAACCCCAACCCCAACCCCAACCCCAACGCCAACGCCAACGCCAACGCCAACGCCAACGCCAACGCCAACACCAACACCCACAACAACAACAACCACAACAACAACCGCAACCACAACAACAACAACCACAATGCTTCGCGAGGACGTCTCGCCGCACTTCCACGCAAGCTCAAGTCAGCGACACACTTTCCGCATAGTACAAACCAGCACGTTACACAGTGGATAAAAAGCCTTTTTCCAGGTCGTTCTGTGTAGAAAACCGCCAGCCAGTGCCACACCTTCCACAAAAAGACCCCCCGACCAGCTGCAGTTTTGGCACGCACGGAGAGGGCTCGCTCAAGCCCATACAACATCAAAGCAGCACCATTTACGCGGCCAATCCAATATTCAAAACAATCTAAAAGCTGCGTCATTCGGATATTCTTCGTTCTGCTGCTTGGAAGCACCTGCAACCGGGCTCTTATCATGCGCTAAAGGCTGGCCCGCTGTTTCAGAAGCGCAATTGAAACCGTGTACTTATCATGCGTTCTGCCGTTTGGAAACGCAGTTGAAACCGTGCGCTTGTACTTATCATGCTCCCACGGGGCGGGCTGCGGCAAAGCGTCGAAACCAACGCGTCGGGCAGCCGCCAGAGCGACCCTTTTTCGTCACTCCTCGAAGTTAAAGCGGCCGCAAGGACCATGCAAATCTTCTCTGTCGTTTCAAAATGCAACGCTCTCATGATTTGCTGCGTGTCTGCCCTCCGCCACCATCTGCTCGTGAGCAGGAGTGAGAATGACTCTATGTCTGCGCCCCTTGGCCAACTCCCGGGCAACACACGCCCCGACGAAGTAGGCCATCCCACACGGCGCGATGAAGTAGGCGCCACCGTCGGATGGTCGCATCTTGGAGGCGAAGTTTGTCTCCCGGCTGCATGATGTGGCACACGTCTTGCAGATGGCACAGCCTGCAGCGCCCTGATCCGAAGCACCTGCTGCCATCGCTGATTGAGAAGCTCTCCATTCAAAAGGTGGCGGGTCGGCTCAATCGGCCGTCCTTTCTTTGCGTCTCTTCACTGCTTGCGCGACGCCGCCTCCTCACGAGCTCGAGGGCGTGGCTGCCGTTGTCACTCCTCAGCTTGGCAGCCCCAATCCTGCCCCTACTCTCCCTGGCACAGTGCGGCAATGCGAAAAGCCGACCCGAGCATGTGTGTACCTCGGGGGGCCATCACCCCCCTGGCCATACACAATGGCCGGTTGGAGTTTGACTTTAATTGGTTTTGCAGCTTGCCAGGAACTTTCCGGTAGCTCTTTGCTCGCTCGCTTGTTCCTGCCGGCTTGTTCTGCCGGCATTGCGTCCAAGTCCTTTTGTTTGGCCGTTCTCGCCCGCCGTGGGTGGTGGGGGTGGCTTACCGAAAACTGCACGGCGGGGCGCTGGGCACGCAAGCCGGGCAGGCTCAGCTTACTACTAGGTTACACCGCTCAGCCGGTTAGACTCAACTTATGTTAACTGGACCAAAGTCGTTTGGCGTTTTGTCTTTTCCCGAAAGCATTGCGATAGGAAAGATCTGGAGAGAATTACGGCCCTTCTCCAGTTTCCGAGGTTTCACATGGCACGGATGTTCAAATGTTCGTTTGGCCCAATAAGCAACCAACTGTCAACGCGCAATGCGCCGGAACGAGTAGTATACGCGCCGAGCAGGTAGGGCCAGAAGGCATGCGGCTAGTGTCTGGAAAGCGGCGCCCCAAACAAATGAAACACCCAGGCCGCTGAATAACTAGACCCTGCCCGTTTGAGGCCCAGGTTCGGTTTGGCTGCAAGGACGGCAGTTTTCCCACGCTAGTTCGACCCGGAACCGTGGCAAACCGAACGCTATTTACATGAAAAGCCATGTCAGACCGTGTTGACAGTACCTGAGCGTCGGCTTTTGGCTGCAATGTTCAGGAAATTGTGTTCTTGCGCGGGAGCCCCAATTTAAAAGTCTTGTGTTGACTATTTAGGGTCTTCCTTAAATGGCAAAATCAAGGGTCGCAACTGTGACTGGAAACAAAGGCTTTAACAAGGCCCCTAGCGTTTCGCGCCGGAACTAGTAGAACACGCGCCGGGTAGCTAGGCTAAAAGATGGTGCGTAGCTAGGATTGCGCTTCGCGGCGCCCCAAACAAATGAAACACCCAGGCTATTCAAAAACTAGGCCCTGTCCATTTGCAAGGCGCAAGTGTTTTTGCACGGTTGGGAGTTCATTCTATCCGCGAGGGAGGCAGGGGCGAAGACAAGTGGGAATGCGGTGGCGCGGACCATTCTCCAGATTGTGAACTTTGAAACACAAGATCCAAGCGACTTGGAAAAACACCCTGCGCATTTGCAAGGCCCCCGTGTTTTGAATGGCTTGGGCTTGTTTTTTTTGCTGCGCCCCCCAGGCAGACAGAAAAATCAAAAATCCAAGCCGATTAGAGACAAGTTGAGAACCCCAGCCGCTTAAAGATTAGACCATGTCCGTTGGCAAGCTGCAATTTTTTGGAACAGCTGGGTTTCTGGCGGGGTAGTTGGGCAGCGCACTACACCCTGTCCAGTTGCAAGTTGCCATTGATTCTTTGGTCTCGGCTTCGGCTATGCCAATACACAGGTCTCTTGTTCTTTAGCGGTTTGGAATTGCACAAGAAGCTCCATACCCTCTAGGCCCCTGCAAGCTAGACACCGTCCAGCGACAACGCCTGAGTTTTGGATGGGCTTGTTGTTCCTGGCAAGGCAACCGCAAGTAAAGTGAATAATGCTCAACTGTTGAAGCTTCAAGGTTCGAGAAGCGACTGTAGCGAGTGGTACAATGAACGGACTGTTTGCTGGTCAACCATGGTTTACATTCCATGTGATCAGAGCTGGCCAGGTTTGGTCAGCGGTGCGACAAAGAGATTGCTGCTGTTGAAGCTTGAATTCTGAATTCCCGACGGTCAAGCAACTCGAGGTCCGCAACACCAGGGCAGTTGGGATTGCTCTTTTCTCTTCCTGCTTTTTGGCCAGCAGATCATTTTCGAAGCTATTCAACCTGCCACCTGTTTTCAATTATTATTACTCGGCGCCCTCCCAGGTAGAAGAAGCGTCTACAATATTCAAAACTGGAGCCTTGCCTTTGGGCAGGGTGCAGTTTTGCAGCCCCCTCTGAGAGAGCCTCTCGCAAATGAAGTCAAGTAAAATTGAAAGCGCCGTCCGCTTGGGATAGACCACGCGGGCGGTAGTGGGGGCCGGCGACAAAGCAATCCAGTCCTGGCCACTTGAAAGGCCAGTTGCTGTCTGTTTTCGTTTTTCGCTGCGCCAAAAACGAAAATGTGAGGCAAAGCGATCCGCCAGGACAGCTTGAGGGAGATCTGCCTCAACGTTGAAGCTGATGGCCCTCGGAATGATGTCCAGGTTGGCGTCCTCCGATCTACACCTGGTCCGTCTTGCGAA